GCTCAAAAAAATTCAATTAATAATTTTTGACATTGATATTTGCACAAAATGGATAGTAATTTTTAACTAATTACACGTAAATACCTTATTTGTATTATGATAGTGAAACACGATTCTTTTGTTGTGCTTTACAAAAACGGCAACAAGACAAACAAATTTGAATTTTCACTGAATTTTTTTAATGCGACTTTTTAAAATTGAAAAGTACCAAATTAGAGAGTCAGTCTTGATACAAAAATATTTCTTAAAAAATGTTTTTGTATATTTTTTTAAGTTTTAGTGTCGAAAAGCTGTGATCAACAGATGTAATTGTTGCCGGAATAGTCGTAACTAGGAGGCATATTTTGATATCATAAAACATCACCATAAAATGATCAATACAATGCTCTTAAAATGTTTTAAAATTGCCCTAAAAGCAAAGAAAAATGATGTTAAAAAATGTGATAAAAACATTTCGGACGAACAACTTGAGCTGTTGGTTGCTTTACTAATGTAATCAAAGCTGCTTCTATTCGTTCAAGTGAACTCGGTTTTCAAAATTTTGGTATGGACTGTCCTTTACCAGGAAATTTCTGTATTTAGTTATCCTGAAAGTGGCTGAACTGACAACAGCGCTGATAGGTGTCACAGGAACCGTAGATTACATAGGCTGTACTTAGATTTTTTTTTTTTTTTTAAGTGACCAATGACATTAGGTCATTGTGATGCCTCCTGGCTAATAAAATGAATCTTTTAAACAGTGGTAAGCACATTTCTGAGGCAACGAGCCCCATTGAGAAGGACGTTCGCAAATTAATTAAAATAATTCATTGTTAAAGGCAAGATGTGTAACAATGACGTAATGTCATTGGCCATTTTAAGAAATCAAAGTATACTCACGAAGGCTTACAATACAACTTCTGAGCAGAGAAGTCAATTAGGCTACTCAAGAATTCTGTGGAGAAAATTTGTTACATCCTGTAAATATTATTTGAAGCAAGTACCATTAAAATGAAATTAAAATCGAGAAATAATACATTAAAAATGACAGAAGAGGAGAACAAATGACAAATGCAAAAAAGAAAAACATAAAAATGGGTCATTTCCTTTTGTCATAACATAAAATTAACACAATTTTTCTAACATGAAAAGACAATAAAATACATTTAATTAAAATCTGCCCACTAGTCAGAACTAATTCACACAGTTTTAACACTTTCGAGAATCCCTTTCCCTGTTTATTCTCACGAACTAAGCACAATATTGGAGCACTGCGTTCACTCTGTTGGACATGGGGGTGGGGGGGTCATTGATGCAGAAGTGAGATACCATACTTGGTACAGATTCTTGAGAATTATACAGCCCAAACGGTAAATAATACATTCAATATCATTTTTGGGATGCATACATTGCAAAATATATGTGAAGATTATAACCTTATAATATCTACTTATAAAACTAATGTGCCCGTCCTTATGGCCGAGATCGTTAAAGGCAGTAGTGCCGTAGCAATCTCGGACCGAAGGATCATGGGTTCGAGTCCTACCTCGGGCATGGTTGTATTTCTATTCATCCTTTCACCCCCTATCGTTACCATATCATGTCATCTTCACAATTACCATATCGTTAAATGCAACAGTGGTCGCTAATGACCTAAATGTTGACACGAACTTAAATGCAAAAACAAGTAAATTGATGTTTTTTTATGGAAAATATCCTATAAGATCAAAAAGTGAAAGGAATAGGAAGACTGTTGAGGAAGTGTCCATTTTATTTATTTGGGGTGTGAAGTATCATTTGTATCTTACGACGATGTCGCAAACTAAACAGGTTTCAACATTTGTGGGACAATTCACAAATCCCTGAAACATAAAACAAGAAAGGAAAAGAGACTTAAGTTCTATAAGACTATGGTAGTACCAATATTGTTTTATGGAAGCGAGATCTGGACCCTCAAAAAGAGAAATAGAGCGAGAGTCACAGAAATGACATTTCTTCGAGCTGTAAAAGGGTGTAGTCTAAAAGACAAAATTAAGAGTGAAGAAATATGTAAAGTGTTACAGATATTTAGTTCTATGAAGATAAGTGACACTAAAATGAATTGTTGCAGTAATCTGGAGTGAAAGAGCAGAAGTAGAGTTCGACCGGCAAGGTCGTATTGATTAGTATATTTCAATTTGGTTTTGCTTTGTTATATCAGTTCAAAATTCCTGATCTTGTTTCATGATTTTAGCCTGCCTTATGACTTCTTAACACTAATTTCTATTTTTAATTTTTATTGCCGGGCTCTGGCAACGAAAATGTGGACACATCTTGAACCTGTACATAGTAAATTACTTCTTGTAACATGTTGTGTAGTCAGAATCCATGTTTTGTGGGTCCTTGATATGAAAAATTGGTTGACGGCAAAGCGTCCGTTTGGGACTAACATCCGTTAGATTGCCAGACTTGTACTAGGTGACATTAGCTCGGTTTCTGACCAGGTATGGGGCACTGGTAGAACAAGGCACCTTACACGATTTATTACGTTTCTTGTTCTACCCTTTTGCCATTACATAGCAGACGCAATCGAGCATTCAAGCAAACATGTTCATAGCAATGAATCGATAGCTGACAAGGTTAGCTGGGTCGTCATGGGCTCATGCCTATTTTCAGTTGAAATAAATGCCGGGAACTGGATGGAAATTCACTATTCCATTCTTCCAATATCTCACTTCTACCGCCAGTTGAGATGGCTCAGAGCAACAACAGACGCCACTGCATTGTTTTTCTGACCTGGAGGTCTTCAGGTTCGAGTCCGGACACTAGAGGGTTGCGAAAACTCACTCGATCTTGTGAAGAAAATTCTAGTGGCCGGTTTCTCCGATCAGTGGAACTGCAGTGCCCCGACTAACTGGCCACGGACCGCCCGCGATCTCTCCTTCCACGTCCTTTTCCCCCTCATTCCCCATAAACATTCACATACATGAGAGGATGCCAATAGGGCACTGAGAGTTCACTCTACGGCGAGGGCGATGGGCAATGTCCTACTGAAGATTCTTCGAGGGGATGCCCTGCCCGTCGACGAGTAGGTCAAGGGCGTATCTCGCGTTCCATCGGGGAAGGAACAACCAGGGATATAACGCGCACTATACTTGCGGACTAAGGACAAGTACGAAGCGGATCCAGAAAGTACGTTTCCGAAGGTCAACAAAAAAAATCAAGGAACTTTATTGTAGCAGATGCAGCACATGCTGCACTGTTTTCCATTTAATCAAAACCAGATTTGTCATATTTGTATCTTTGTGACGTAGAAGTCTGCCGCCTGAGATGGGTTCTCGTGTTTGTCAGCCACATGCAACTGTGCGTCATTGCGATAAGCGTAGTACTGCCTATTCCGTGAGAAGTATGCAAAAGTGGAAATCGTTTGGGGGACATCCGGATTTTAGGGTTGATGGTCAAACACCTTCCAGCAGAACTGCTGTAGAGGTTCTGTTGTGACAGACGTGTGTGGCCGACCGCATGACAATATGCAACCAATGGTGACACAAGACAGCACATAATTTCCCGCCCGTATTTTCAAAATTATTCGAAAAGTGCTGAAATTTTCGAAAAATTGTACATGATCTTATTTCAAAAATATATCATTAAGGAAAACATCTATCTACAATATTTTAGTTACAACAAAATTTTGCAATTTTCTAATAATAATGATTTTTAAAGAACACGAGTCCTGAAACCGGTTTCTCTAAGGTAAAGCACGAAAAGTTACTTGTAGAGAAATTCAATAGATAGCAGCGACTATCCAAACAGGAATTCTAGAACTATCTCTGATAAAGTCTGAACCAAATGTCCGATTTTTCGAATCTGTAAAACGCAATTTTGACGTCATTTAAAATAAGAATATTACGCTACAAACCTTATTTTCAAACATCTACGCAAAAACTCGAATTGAAATATAGTTCTCGAAATCCGAAAAAAAAATTAAAAAAATGTGGCTTTACGATGGTACGGCGCTTGCATTACCATGAGCTCCTGACTCAGCAAACACGAAACTAAGAAAAAAACAATCAAGGCAAATGGCACGGGTGATTAGGAGGTTTTATAGTAGAATTTACGATAAATCGCTTCGGCCTCCCCCTTCGCGCGCGTGCGTCTCACCACTCCACCCGTTGGGACCTTCTGTTTGCGCGCGGAGCATCTCCAGGCCGACGCGAGGAGGCGGGACAGGCAAGCAAGACAGTCGCTTAGCTTTTCGTCACTTGCATTCTAATCTAATTTTTCCACAGATATCAACTAGAGATGCTATACTATTATTACAGACTGATAAACATTTCTGTAATAGTAGTACATAACCTCATTTTTCAGAATATTCCGGTTTCATTGTTCTCTTCGATCAATGACATCTTAAAATTTTTAGCGATAATATAGTCATCCGATTTGGAACTTTTTTGTTTTTTTTTTTTTTTAATGAACTAATTCTGTAAATTACCATTATTCCGATCTCCTCACATCTTATTTAGATATATATTTACTACTAAGGTCTTCTTGATCATCTACTTCTCTAAGATCTTCCGTTGTCAAATACCGAGAAAACATTAGCGGATATACGCAAGAGTTTTTATCATCACAACTCGATTTGAATCTCAAATACGACGGTGTATCTTTAAAAGAGTTCATCTGGTGAGTCTCGACTTCCCAAGATAACATAGCCGAACAGCTAATTTTTAAAATGTTTTCGTACTTTCGAAAATTTAAGAAGTGCATGATCTTCGGCGTCGGTGACTTGCGTGAGGCTGTGTTGGCCAGACGTTCGTCTCATCGTTTGTCGGTGGTCTTCATCAGGCTGTATGCA